GATTACCAGTTTATTAGAATTTTCTAAAGTAAAGGGTAATTTTTTAGCAATTATCTTTTTGGCAACACTGGTTTAAACAGCTGACGCACGTTTCATGTTTTGTGTCATCGTCAATCATCTTCAGTTTGGTCTATAATTTAGCCATGAATCGTCTCACAAACGAACAACGCTTACGAATTATTGGATTTTATGATCAAAATGCGTGTCCTGCTAAGAAAGTTCATCTCGCTTCGAAGCTCATTTTTGGCTTAATCGGTGCGTAATCGGTGCAGAATCGTTGCTTTTGAAGTGAAGATCAGCCAGAAGCATTACAAGAGCTACAAAATGCATCCAGAAAAAGTCACAGTTGGGCTGTTGGCATCATTGGACCATACTTCTTCAAAGATGATGCGAATCGTAACGTAACTGTGAATAGTGCGCACTACCGTGAGATGATTTCAAACTTTTTCATGCCCAAAATGCAAGAGCTTGACTTACATGGCATACGGTTTCAACAAGACGTTGCCACATGCCACACAACACGCGTAACAATGGACTTATTGAGAGGCGAGTTCGGAAGATTTTAATCACGTTCGGGACCTACCCATAGCGATTTAACCATTTTTTATGGGGCTACGTTAAATCTATATCTGTCTATACGATAAGCCCGCTTCAATTGAAGCATCGGAGGACAACATTGAAGTATGTATTCGTGAGATAAGGGCCGAAAGGTTGAAAAGAGTATGCCAAAATTAGACTAAGCGATTGGAATCTTTGAGGCGCAGTCACGCTCGACATTCACATGAAATAATACAATCGATAAATAAAGATCTCACGCATTTTGCTGAATTTTATGTATTATTTTTTTTTTTTTGACTCTCCTACAGCTCTTAAAAAATCACCCTTAAAACAAAGAACTTCGAATAGTATGAATAAGTAAATCGGTTTCTTTTAAAAATATTACCTTTGTGATAAGGTGGTCGCAATGGCCGAGTGATTGACACTACATATGGCCATTCAGAAGGCCATAGCTTGAGCCCTGGTTCAACAAACATCCTCTTAAATATCTATCGTATTTTCGGGGGAGGCTTGGAATAAACTGTAGGTCCCTTCATTTGTTGGAAAAACATCGAGACGCAAACAAGAGCGTCTTCATACCTTTTAAAACCTTGACAAAGTTTTTACATATTTTTGACCAAAAATATATATATTAGGTGTAGTAAAAAGAAATTCATTATTTTTCCAATAGATGGCTTTATTTAACTGTATCTCGCGTTCTATAAGACCGATCGGCACTAGATGGCGTTAGAAACACGACATTTCGCACTAAAGCAACCTTTTCGACAGCTTTGTGATTGGTTGGTTCAGTTTTGTTTGAGCGCGCGTCAAAGATAAACACTAGCAAAGAGAAAATACGCTATATTTTATAATTTTTTCTTCGATAATGGCGTAAACGCAAAAAATATGTTAATGATCCTGATACAGTTACAGTCAAATATGCACATTTTCGGTTTTATTCCGGTAATTTTAATGAAAAGAGTGGAAGGCCAAATGTCGAAAATGTCGACAAAATCCTGAACATTGTCGAATCGTTCCGCCATGTAAACACCGTTTCGATTACTCAAGAGCTAAAAATTGCACAAAAAACCGTTTGGAACCGTTTCGATAAGGCTGGATACGAAAAGAAAAATTTTAATCATTCAATTTTATATAAAAATAATGGATTTGTTTTTGGTACACCAAAATTAACAAATCGATGGTAAGGGGCGAGATAATATTTTGATCCGAACTGACCGGTTGGCTGATCAATACAGTATAAAAATTCAACTTAACATATATTGAAAATATGAAAAGGCATTTGGTGTTATCAGATTGGCAAAACTTCATATTTCATTATGATATGCATATAACGGTTTACATTTAGTTGTCGAAAATGTTAGTATGAGTATTCACCATTTGATGATGAATATCTCTTAACAGCAAACACACAATTTCCAAAAAATGTTTGAATATTTTTGCACAACGCCACACCAAACATATCGTTTGGGACCCGACAGAAGTTCCGAGAGCTAGGTTGAGCGGTGCTTATGCATTCACCCTATAATCTGGTCCTCGCACCAAGTGATTACCAACTGTTTTGCGATTACCAACCTAAGGCGATTGATTAGGCTGGTGAAGAATTGGCCTCGAGAGCAGACTGTGAGGAAGGATTGTCGCAATTGTTTGCCAATAGGGTCAAGGGTTTCTATGGGAGTGTCATAAGGACAACACCTTAAAAGTGTTAACAAGTGGTCTAGCAAAATGAGTCGTATTAATTTATATCAAATATTGGATAATTCTCATTATGGCAAATAAATCATTCAATCAATTTCAGGTAAAAAAATGGATTACTTTTTACTAGGCATATTATGCATTTAAATGATTTTCAACAAAAGCAAATTAATTTTTTCCTAATGCAGCATACTTTTTGATCAAGATTAAAAATTTAATTTAATAGTATTAAAACTAAATAAAAAAATTAGTTGTTGCTTTTATTATTTTCAACTTATGCATTGCAGATATTTCTATACACATCTGTGTGTATGTTTTCATTTAAAAGCATTTTAAGTAGTTTTCATTATTTTATTGGTTTTTTTTGTCAATTTGATATCAAAATTCGTTATGCCAAATTATTTAGCCATTAGCTATGGTATGACGGATTGATACAAGATTATTATTAAATAACGACCAGCACATGTGCTGGTATAAATAAATATATGTATGTATATTACATACATACATATTTAAACATATTTTTCAACTGATGTGTCAGTACTTACTTTTACGTTTTTTTTTTACATTAAATAAATTTATTATTTTTTTTTTTTTTGTAAATCAATACTTTTGTATACTCACATATACATACATATGTTTGTACGTTTGCTGTAGGTTCATGTGAAACACTTTGCTGAGAGCACTGTAAATAACACGTAATCAAAAAAAAAAAAAAAGAAACAAAAACAAATACTTCATATACGATTCATCATTTTTATATTTTGTATTATTTTTATTATTTTCATCTCAAGTGCTACACGTTAGAGTTGCGTTTTTTTACTTATTATTTTATTTTTATTTTTCTCTATTTGCACTTATCATATTTTCTGATTTTGTACAAAATTATTTATACATATATATTTAGTTCAATTATTTTTTCTTTATATTTATTAAATGTTTACTTTTTGTTTGATTTTTTGCTTTTTCCCATTTTTTCCCCTTTTATAGGCGAGTTGTTATTTGAGCACGTTTATCGTCATCAACGAGCGCTTAGAGATTAGATTGATAGCTTTTGCTTTTTCTTTTTAATTTTTTTATTTTTAGAAATGACAAAACAAAATTATAAAAAAACAATTTTTAATAGTGTGACTGTTTGCTATTGGAAATGAAGGAAAAGGTTGAGAAGCTTGAACTGAGATTAAAAAATGAAAAAATTGGAAATTCATTGGCGGTGATTTCTTAGATGAAAGAAACAATAGATTAATAATGCTCACTTGAATTTTTATTGTTGGAAACATTTTTTAACATTCGTGCATCTTTAGAATTATTTTTGTATGCTTGAAAAATTATTTATATTTTTACAATAATTTATTTTGTACTAGTATGAAGAATAAGGTGTAAACTAATATAATTATTTACAGTTATAAAAATTAAATAAAAAATTTGATAAGTTCTAAGTACGCAAAGTAAAACAGCTATCATATTTTGTTTCATTGTTAATATTTTATTAATATTCATTTTATTTGATTTCAATGTTTATATCAGGATTTATATACGTATGTATGTTGCATTGAGGGTTTCAATATTTATTTCAACTAATTGTCAATATTTATCATTTATTGTTTAGTAAATCTTTTTTGTTTAGTTTAATTTTTTACACTTGCAGTTCGCCAATAGCTCCAAACTAATGTTTTGCTGCTGGTTTCAATTACTTTTAATTTTTTTCTTTTTAGTAACTTTTCATTATTAGTATTTGTCAAAACATATATTTAACTTATTGATTTAATTTTAGAAGATTTTTTATATATATTTTAGAAGGTATATTTGTTGTATATTTATTTCATCGGCGTTAGTTTTCTGCTGTGTTTTAAAAGATTTATGTAAATTAGTTTTTGAACTTTGCTACTCACTTTTCTTATGTTTTTAGAATTTTAATTTTTATTATTTTTTGATTTTGGTTTTAAATATAATTTTAAAATATATTTATTAACTTTTTTTTAAAATTTTTTTTAATTAATATTTTTCTTATTTTTAATTTAATTAATTTTTTTTTTTTTCTAAACTTTGTGTTGTCTTTAGGCTCTCCAAGAGCACGGTATGAAGTTCCTACAATTTTGAAAAACAACGTAGGAACTCTATACCTCGCTGATGGCAAAAACCTGGTTTGGTTTGTTGAGGAAAATTTTGGCATCCTCACTTGCATCCAGATACATGGTTTAAGAGCAGCGATGTTTATTTAACAGAAAATTGCTGGCTGTATTTATGTCAAAGTTTGGTATAAATTTTTAAAAACCTCTAATTTTAAATTTTAAACTAAAAAAGAATATTTTTAACCTTTTTTTTCTAATTTTACAGACATTCTATTATTTTATTATTTACATTGAATGCTAATTATTAAATATAAAATTAAAAATTTATTTGTAAGCTACAATTTATGATATATTATATAATATATATTTTTTTTTTTGTTTATGCTGTAAAAATAAAGTTTATTAACTGCATTTGTTTGTGCTGATTTTTTCAAAGTAAATTATATTCTTACTGCCTCTATAATTGCTTATTTCAATTTTAATTTTAATATGAATTCAATGTGAATTTAGATTATGATTTTAATTCATTTAATTCTTTTTTTATTTTTTAAATAATATAAATTATTATTGAGTTTTTTTATAAATTTTATTACTTTAAATATAATAGTTTTATTTTTGCACAGTATTTATATTCATTATCCATATTTATTGTTTCATATTTTTTTAAATTTATTTCATCAAAAATATATAAATATATTATTTAGTTGTCCAATATTCAAGAAGCCGTCGCTTGTGAGGCACACAAAACGATTTCCCGCTGGCAAACGCACAAACGATATTTTTAACACTTAAGAAAAAAAAACCCGCGAAGCCATGATGGCACTACATACTGTGTAGTTAGCAAATCAAAACGAACGCGACCACCAACCAATAGGTAGAGTATAATAATAATAGGTAATCAAAGCGCACACTTGTACCACAAATTTCATAATCCATAACCGCAACGTCTGATCGTTCCACTGCGACTGAGCTGACAAATACTAATGAAAATCCATTCAAGCATAGCAATAGAGCTGCTGCTAGCAAGAATACCGTCGCCGACGTCGTTATTGTCGTTTTCTCATTGTAGCTATCGTCATCAACGTCGTCGCTGAGCCGCGTTGCGTCGCGTCACGCCAGCGGTTAATAACGTTATGCGCGTGGAGTGCGCCACACGTTGGCGTTGTTTGCAATACTCAATCGGATCGTGGCAAATTGAATTTTGGCCAGTTGAAAGTGATCGCAGTAAAGGTTTTTTTTTTTTTGTATATTTTCAACTAATTATTATAATTTTCCAATATTCTTTTAATTCGGAGCACGCGCGTGTTATAACAAGAAATCTGTATAACCTCTAACGGTTAAGTATTTGCACAAATTCTTAATTAGTCGAAATTTGAATGACTAGTAAGTCGATACATTTTTCAACTAGAAAATAACAAGTTGGTAAAAACCGTAACTAAGACTTCAGTACTCAGCAAAGCGCGCAGTTGGGAACTGATCTTTAAAGTAGCGCGTTGAGCGTTAGCAACCCACAGCGGATTAGCGAGCGTTCGCCGTTTAATCGCGCCTTTATCTCTGTCAACGTAGCGCGCTCGCAAGGAAACCATTTCCAATAGAACTTACCGCTCACAGCTAGAAACGCGTCGCGCTGCAGCGCGCTTGTTGACAAGTTGCATGGAATATGTACAACGGCTGCGGCGAATAGCGTACATAAAAAAATATGTATAAAATCTCGCTTTATGCGCTCGGAAAATAGAGAGTATCTAGCGCGCTGCACCGAATTCCACTTAGCTTTGGCGAAGTGTGGGCTGTATGCGAAGTCTTTGGCTCTAGCGCTTACGAAGAGCTAGAAACATTATTCGCCCATACGCCTTAGCAGTTAGCCAGTTATCGCGAACACTCGTCGTATGAAGAGTTCACTTGGCGAATGCCAGCGATTGACTCACAATTACTAGCAAGCTATCAAATTGGCTACTTGGAGTGGCACAATCAACACAAGTACACTCATACATATATACAATGCATAGGTATGAGCGAAGTCACATTCTAACGGCTAATAGTTGGATGCAGCAAGTGCATTTCACTTCCAGTAGCACACAAAACCAGAAACCGTAATTTCCAAGCTGGAAAAACAAAAGGAATTGAAAAACCAAACCAACTTCGGCGCAACGCTGAACTCCAACAACGCGAACGACTAACGCGTTGGCGCGCGCTCCAATGTAACGTATTTGTGGAGCCTGTTGTGACGGCTGGAAGCTGGCCATGACAGCGACAAAACAACTAACAATCGTGCACTTCCATTCACCACAAAACCACATATTCATCTAAGATCTTCACGGAAAACAACACATCAACGAAAGAAACAGGTCTATTTGTGAACCGTCGAGCGCCGCTCCACTATCAGCACCGCGACAAACAACGCGATTACTTCGAGCCAATACGAGTCTATAAACACACGTACGAATATGCATAAGTACAACGACGGTATTTGCCACGCGTCGCCTATGCAAAAGCAAAGTAGCACTGACGATGGACGATTGGCCGGTTGGTTTCTTGGCTGGCTGGCTGGCCGACTGGTCGATCGAGCGTCAAACTTAATTCGATTTTGAAAGCGTTTTGGAAAAAGATTACCAGCTTGCTGAACTATCGCCTCCGAACATATTGCGCGCTCGAGAACTAAACGTAGCCGCGCACTTACGCAATTCGATTTTGAATAAAAGCGTAAAACACGTAGACGGCATTACGCGAAGAGCTCGCAAATATTTAAGCTAACACATTAATGCCGCCGTCATTCACAACTCGATTGTCGCAAGAAGACTGACCGAAGTTGTGAGTTTCGAGCGAGCGTAAGCCTGCAAGCCTCAGAGCAGCGGCCCACTTGACAGCTGAACAGAGTTGGGAAATGCTGCGCCGCAGCGCTGAGCCCAAGCACGATAATGGAAGTAAGTTGAGGTGGTGGTGGTTGTGGTAGCGGCTTGTGAGCCATCAATGCATGTACAGTTGTATAATTGTAGGTATGCAAGTGGTGGTAGTGGTGATTGTCGTATAGAGTGCGCCGCCGCTCACATGCAATTAATTCGTCAGCAGAGCAGAGTTACATACGTGGCGTTGGGCGCATATGTATGTACATACATACATACAGGTATACTTTACTCAAAGTACAAAGAACAGAACTCAACTGGCTGTGTGGGTTAGTTTGTTCGTTCGCGCGTTCGTTCGTATACTTAGATACGAATGTATACACATACATAGACACACGCGCGCGCTCTTCGACGTCGGTGGAGCAGCATGAGCGCATCGCGTCACTGCAGTTGGTTGACTGAGTAGTGGGTCGAGAGCGTTGGCGCGAGTGCGAGAGCGCATGCTGTTGTTTTCTGCGGGGGGAGGGAATGGCAGTGAGGGTATTTGTGCACATATATGTGTGCATGTGTATGTGAACGCTGACGCATGCAGAGTGAAATGGTGAGCAATACAGCGCCGCGCAGCGCTTTTATTTGTCATATACACATATGTGCTAGGTATGCACATATATGTGAGCGCACATATTTGTGTGTATGCATATTTTGTGATATGTGCGCATGTTTATAACTTTGTGTGCTTGTGCGCGACGCGTATGAGTAACTGCAAGTTGACTATGTTGCTGTTATATCTCACTTTTATTTCGAGTTTTTTTTTTCATTCTTTTTTGTTGTTTTTGTACTTTTTTCTGTTTTGCCTTACGTTATGTCTTCGTATTTGCTATTGGAGTATTCATATGCCGTATCTCAGTTCGATTGCGCTTACAACATTTGCTGCTTCGCATGAGTCTATATGTGTGTATGTACATACATATGTATATATGTGCATGTGGCACGTTGTGCTGCGCTCATGTGGATGCAACAGGGCAAACGTCTGGCTGCACAACGGAATCACCAAGAAACAATGTCCAGTGGACAAGTGTTTTCCGTTTGTTGGCAACTGGCCACTTGTGTGCCGCCTGGAGCAGGTGATTGTCACAGGTTAGTCGATATGTATTGAGCGAATCACATATTTATAAATACATTTATATATATATGTACATATGTAGGTACAATATACTTACATTTGTGTTGTTTGTGTTGCATGTATTGTATGTAGTATGATATTTAGTTTATAATCTTGACTCGTGCGTCACAGAGTGCACCTTTTTTTGTTATTTCCCCAATATTTTTTGGTGTTTTGGTGTGCTCTAAGACATGGCCTATAAATAGAATTATCGCTAATTTGGAACTTATCTTACAAAAGTACTAATAAACGCATATGTACATATGTAGTGTACACTAAGGAAAATTCTTATCTGCGCCTATCGAGATATATTGCCATAGATAAAATGCTTTTCCAATATAAAAATACAGGAATTTTGTTCTTTTGGTGTTCATGAGCTGAATGTTTTGTTTTTTATATTTTTTTATGTATATTTTTTTTTGTTTGTTGAATAATTCGAGGAAAATGCCGTACAACTGAAGGATTTTAGTGAAAAACTATTAATTTATTGGCAGGAGAATACCAGACGTTTTTAGCCGAGCAGTGAACTTATTCTAAGAGATTAACCAAAAGCTCGTACTGTTGGTAAATTTCAAGTTGTTTCTGTTGAATCTAGAGAATCTGGTATCCTTCGCATTACTTTATCAGTCCTACTTTCAAGTTCCACAACGATTGGCTCAAATGGAGACGAGAAAACGCTAGATAGCTGAGGATAGGTCAGACGAAATTCCACCACCAACGCAAACAGAAATTCGCTGCGATTCTCTTCGCGTTTCAGTCAATGCCAAATTGCATATGGAAGATCGTACCGTTTTTAAAAACTATTTCTGAGCGGTTCCGAAGATACCAGACCGGACGTTTTTCCCTAAAAATCGGACCGCGAAAAGGTCAACCAAAATCTTCCACTGGTGACGTCTCTGTAGCACTGGTAAAATCCAAAATTGACACAAACCCTCCATTGGTACAAGAAATGATTGTCAATGAATTGGGTTTGAATGCCATGGCTGTATTGTGAATATTAAGTAATCATATGGGATCCACTTATTCTGCTCGATGCATACCACGAATTTGAAATTATTCCCAAAAATAGGCTCGAGTGTATTTTGCTCAATTTTTCCTAAACCAATTCGAAAAAAATTAGTCTAGCAACTTTAGCAAAGTTGTTACTGGAGACGAATCTTGGTTCGTTCTATCGTTAGGATCCAAAGTTGTTACTAGAGACGAATCTTGGTTCTATCGTTAGGATCCAGAAACCAAAGAGCCCAACAGGAGCAAACCCAGCTGGTAAAGAGTCAGACGGTAACTGAAGAATGGTACACCGAAGAGTGCTCAACTTAAGTTTTCAAAAAATTGTTGGAAAACAGAACGAAATAGGATTTGCGGCGTTGCGTTTTACATCATGACAAGGCGCCATCCCACAGTGCTGCAACAACGAGTAATTTTATTACGACAGAAATTTGTCCAGCACCATATTCCCCGGATATGGCACCTTGTGATTCCTGGTTATTTTTGAACGTGAAAAAAAAAATGAAAGGGAAGCTCTTTAATAGCAAACGAGGAGATATATAAGGCGGTTAATGCTGAAATTTATAAGCTTAAAAAGCAAGATTTTTCAGACTGTTTTCTGAAGTGGATCTATAGGCTTAAGGAATGCCTTGGAATCAATGGCGATTAGGTAGAGGACGCAGATTACGACTAAATACAAAAAAAAAATTTTTTCTGGTTAACTTAGAGAAAATATGTATGTAAAAAAATTCTTAAGCAATTTTAGTTGCTTGTCTGGTATCAGCTCGAGCTTATGAATCACCGAAGGTAGAATACCACTTAAATCTAAGTGAATAAATATTTTTGATCTTTTCTTTAACTCACAGTTGTTTTAGAGTCTAATTTTTATACAGACCAATTTAGGAACTCATCTTAGGGGAGAAACTCTTTTAAAATAAAATTTCTGGAGATACCGGAGTTTTATTTTTATTTTCATACGCGTCTTTTCTCTGTACATATATATGCATACTAGATTTGCTTAGCCAGTAGGTGCAAGTTCACGTCTTCCTTCATACATATGACCATAATTTTGGAAAGCACAAAAATCGGATTAATTAATTAGTGAATATATACAATTAAAGCCCAGTTTTTGGGAGACGATAACATTAAATGGAAATTGAGCGTCGTACCATCCATATCTGCTTCAAAAAGTATACTTTAGAAAATACTACAAAAAGACTGAATACATAAAGTAGCTCAATGTATGGGTGCCACATGAGGTAACGAGTAAAAATCTCATGGATGAAATTTCCATTCGAGAATCTTTGCTGATCAATTTCTGAAGCGGATGGCGACTTATGATGAAGCGTGGATCGGTTATACCAACTCAAGAGAAGCCGGCGAGCGCACATAGTTTTTAATTTAAATTAAAAGTGTGGTAAATAGAAACAGAATTTCCAACAGGGTCCCTAAATACATGTGTTTATTTGAATTTGATTGTTCTCTTTGATCAATGTCGATTGATTTGTTGTCATCGTTTAAACTATATAATTTTTTTTTTGGGTAGAAGGGCTGTACATACATACATACGTTTGTAGGTCTCTGCATGAGTAAACAGAGTAATCAGTGGAAATGTACATACTTACATACATATATAAATAAATAGATACGAGTCTTCATAAAACCAAAATTCATACATATGTATACGAGTATATGTACATATGTATGAATATGTATGCCTCCGAATATCAGTATCGAATTGAGTCGGCTCAGTTGCGCGAAACGAATTTAACTTATCTACAAGCAGATATGACTTTTATTTGAAAACAAAAAGCAAAAAAAAAAATTAAAAAAGTGCACGCCGAAGCCCAACATTTTTTGCTGATAGCGCGATATCAGCAACAAAAAAAAAATATATTAAAAAAGAAATAAAAACAACAATATAAGCAACAAACCACACAGAAAAGGGAAAATAGAAAGCGAGAATGGGGAAAAGATGACTGTGGCGGCGGCTGGGAAATCAACAACAATCAGCGCAAAGCTTTTCCAGGCGATGCCGTGCCGCGCGGCTTAATCTACGCGCAATGAAAGCAAGAAAACAGCGTACATACATATGTACATATATTGTAAACAATGGTGCACTTCCACGACGATATGGCCACTTCAATTTCAACTCTTTTCTGGCAGTCTTTTTTTCGTTGCCCCTGCTTCTCCTCTTGTTTTATTTTTTTTGCCTCATGCGGCTACACTTCAAGCGGAGTAGTCTCGCGCCAAGTGTCGTCAATATATACATACATGCATACATACATATATGGAAAATAAACACACTACCATGCATCTGGAAATATACATGTGTATATGTATGTGTATGTATGCATATCTTTGCATATGTATGTATGTAAAGTAGAGATATGCCGCCGCGTACGCGTAATAAATGAAAGCGTATAAAGTGAACAAGTGAACAGCAACAACAATACGAACAACAACAGGCGCAACAATAACCAAACAAAACATCTACAATAAAGGCGAAACGCCACATTTCGAGTTCGATGATCTGTTTACGATTTTATTCGCTTTTCGTTATTGTTTTACGTTGTTGTTGCACTGTTTCGTTGTTTTTCATTTTCTTTTTTTTTTCAATTCTCTCTCAACAATTTCTTTCCCTTTTTTCCTTTGTTGCTGGTGTTGTTGTTGTTGTGGTTATCGTTGTTCAGTTTTGTATTTCGTTTCACTACATATATGTACGTATACACACATACATACGTACATATGCACGTATGTGAGGAAAAAGTAGACCTAATAGGGATTCAACTTAATCAGTAGAAAACCTACAGCATTGCGACATTCTAAATTTTAGTCAGCTGAGCGGCTTTCGGAGGTTCTTCTTCGGACCATATTATGAACCGATAAGCTCACTTTGAATGTGGCAACCGGCTACTATAATGAAAGCCTTCAGAAATCCTTGGATTTCTTGCAATTAAGACTTTACGCGATAACAGCATAGACAGACGTCTATAGGCGGCGGTATAAGTCTATGGGCGGCGGTGAGTGAGGCAGACGATGAAACGCTGAGCTGTTCGAGATGTACCGTTTGAATTAAGAGACAGCAACCTCGTTGGTAAGATCACGTCGCCTGGATGAATGAACATACTCCTACTAGCTACTTGATGTAGCTGGAGGAAGCAATGAAAGAGAAATATCACCACTCTGTTGGGGAGTTCAGGTGGAAAAAGATGTTTTTCTAACGAACAACGCTGGTGTAAGATCAATCAGCGGTTTCCAGCTTTTGGAATCAAGATCACGTTGTACTGTACTGCAGGCTAAGGAAGCCTTTATAATTGCAACTAAAATGTTGAGAAAACTTGTTTTTCGGAATCAAAAGATTAGATTTTGTTCATTATAGCCGAAGTAAGATACCAGAATCAGGTGAAGATTCCAAACTCAATATCTCCCATCGCCGAAATGACATAATATTCTAAAAAATATTCAAGTAAGTTTACGAAACCTAACGTCAAGCTGGAAATTTATTTTCTCAAAACCTCAGACGGAGTCGGTTGCCGAAGTGCCAAACACGTACCGAGTGTCGAAGTCACAAGATCCGCGTAACCCTAACAATTGTCTAACGTATGTCTGTAAGCTTTTTTCCCCGATTTATGAATGTATACATGTACATATATATGTAAATATGTACTTATGTATATACATACATATGTATGTATGTATATATATGCCTTTCTTGCGCTTTTAATATTGCTGACTTTTTATTATTATTTTTATTTCAGCCCAATACAGCTTAAGCAGGCCGCTGGCAGCAGCAACAGCAACAGCATTGTCATCAGCGCCGTCCAGGCCCGGTAGACAAACAAAGAACACGCCACTAGGCAGACGAGCAGACGAGCAGAGAAGCAGGCAAACAGCCTACAATCCTCCAGCCAGCCATCAGCCATCAGCCATCAGCCGCCACCATGGGCTAAAGCAATCAAATAGGCATGCTGGCGGGCAGACGACGCGGCCATATAGCGAGCAATTTGGCATCGCAAACGATGGCGTGGAGCCGCCGCAAACCATGAGCAAGCACCATCCATGAAGGAGGCTGTCGCGCCAACAAATAACATCAGCCCAGCACCGGCACTGAGCACATCTCAGCGCTATGCGGCCGCGCATTCGATTCGATGTTTGTTATTTTCGGTACAAATGTAGTGTTGTTGGTTGGAGCCTACTACTTTTGGTCTCTCATAAATGTTTATATGTTTGTATGAACATGCAAGTACTGCATGACTGCATGCATATGGATCAATGTACATATGTACATATATACTCGTATGTATATACGAATAAACATTTCAAGACCTTAAGTATGTGTATGTATGTATCTGTGTGCTTCATAGCTGGCATTTTTTCCCCGTTCTGAAACTTCATTTCATCGTAATTTTTTACTTTTCTTATTTCTCCAGATATTTTCTTTTTGTTTTGTTTTTGTTTTTTTATTCCAGCCATCGATTCGTGCCGCGTATCTACAGTAGCGCAACAGCAAACAACGAAAGCACTTAGTGTAAAAACAACAACAGCAACAGCAAAAATACTTAACTTTCTCATTTTAGTTATTTTTGTTGCGGCTGTAGATATTATTCTTTGCTTTTTAATTTTTTTTTTTTTAATTTTTTTATTTTGTATATTTTTCGTATTTATTTTTCCGTAATTTTTCTCTTATTTTTCACATCATGCGATGATATGGCTTTTCAGCCTTTTGTTTTTGCTATTATTTGCTTGTTCAAGCATATTTTTTCGTTAACAGTAGCGACTGAGACTGAGTAAATAGTAAACAGTAATTTACACTCTGTGCGGCAAGAGTATTTTCGAGAGATAAGGCAAGGCGATTGCGGTGTCGAGGGAAAGATGAAGTAGGCGTTATGGAGCGTGTATACTCTTAGTATGGGTACTCTGAAAGCGCAGCATAAAGTAGACGTTTTTTATGTGGCTTCAAAAGCCCAGTGTCCAGCCATAACTTCTGTACATGAATCGGTCCTCAAACTACAGATAAATTAAGTTCGAGCGAAATCCACTGGAATTACTTTCTAAACCCTATCTTATGCTGTCTGTTCTCAGTTTAAATTATGCTTCATTATTCCTAATTTTTTCCGAAAATCCCTTATATATATGCCCGGCTCGTGATTTATTATTACTAGCTGATTAATGCGATTCCTCTGCGAAATCAATTCAGCAGTACTTCGGTAACATTTCGGAGCTCATGTGAGACTGTTTCGAGAACAAAAATTTCAACCAAAGCAGTGGTTCGGAACCATAACTGTTCTAAATCTACTCTTCTATACTTCCATGTGATCGGTTGCCGTAGGAATGATTTTGTGACTACACTGAATGTAGCTCGAGACTACTTATGAGACAGCCGATTCTGGTCTACTAGTTCAGGACTATTTCGATAACATTTGAGTGAAATCTGAATTAATTTTTTGTTTGGAACTTGAATGATGGACGAATGGAATTAATCATTATATTCGCGGAACTTTTCACTTCAACATATCACAGGAGATAATTTACGCTTCGTTCATATTATTGAAGTGGTTTTTTTTTTCCTGATCGAATCCACTTTTTTATCAAAAATAATTAATTTTTCATTACATAATTCGAATTTCAAAGATTTTGAAATAAATGTTTAAACTAATTACAACCTTTTTAAGGTGTATAATATGTATGTATATTTTATAATTTTTTAATTTAGATACTTCATGCCAAAAGCTGATTGAAAGAAGTGCGATAGTGAAATTAGTTTAAAGTATTTTTTTGATCTATGCCTTCCTATCGCTATATTTCTGTTAAGTGCTGAAACGTGGTATTTAAACCAATGCCATAGGGGGCATTTGACGCTGCACAGACGCCAATCGCATACCGTTCAAGTGAGCAGAGATGGGAAGAGGCAAAACAGATCAGATAGTCAGATATCTGATCTGGGCCATAAGATGGTAAATTCCATTACAAACCATGAGCACTTTAGCTACATCGCTTCGCTAAAAATTTGAAAATTGCATTCTTGCATATAGTGTATGCATGTAAAATCCATTATAAAATTTAACGATTCGACTCAATTTACGGTATTTTTTTTATATAATTATCCAATATTAAACACTTGACCCCAACCAACACATATCTAATCGACATGTAATGAATAAAAAACATAAAATCAAAAGCAAAAAAAATCGGAAATTTAAACATAAGTTCGTATAGAGGTATGTATTTAAATACATATGTATGTATGTATATACATATGTGTATTCAGTCATGCTTGATCAAGCACAACTCAATGTTGCTATGAAATTTTAGTCAAAGAATGTCATATACAAAATAATTAGACTAAATTCCAAATAATTGGGTCATTAACCACTTTAAAATGAGTGGGAAAAAGTACAAATTGAAGATTATGAAAATTACTTTAGGAAACAGAATAGCAAGAAATGTAAGTAAAAAAAGGAAAATAAGATTGAATTGATTTAATTAAACAAAATTAAATAGTGTAAAAATGAAAAAAAAAGAAATAAAATTAAACAAAATTATATAAAATAAAATAAATAAAAAAAATTTAAATGAAGTAAAATCACACAAGAAAAGAAATAAAATAAAAAAAATATTTAAAATAATATTTAAAAATAACTAAAAATTAAATGAGTTTAAACGAAAAGAAATAAAATTAAACCAAACAGAATAAAGTAGAATTTAAAAAATAGAATTAAATTAAATATATTCTAATGAAATAAAACAAAATATAATAAAATAAAATAAAATAACTAGAAATAAATAGGACATAAAAAGCAATTTAAATTAAATGTAATCAAATAAATCAAAATAAAATATAATAAAAGAAAATAAAATAAATAAAAAAAAAGAAAACCTGGATTTCCGGTCCCTTAATTGGGATGGTGCCGCAGGGTCGGCTTGTTGATGTCCTCGTAAGAATAAAGACTGACATCACCGCCGTTCAAGAAGTGGAATGGACGGGTAAAGGACGAAAGCTAGTTTGTTTTTGTGACATTTACTACAGCGACCATATAAGGGAGCGCAAATTTGGTGTTAGATTTGGGGTGGGAGAGAGACTCCGTCGTCGAGTACTGGCGTTCACCCCGGTGGATGAGCGCCTCTCCACAATCCGCATCAAAACGACACGACGTGAAAATCGTGCTTTGTGACTTTAATGCCAGGGTGGGCAAAGAAGGTATTTTTCGAGCAACAGTCGGAAAATTCAGCTTCCAGCGCGAAACATTCCCAAATGGGCTGAGGCAGATCGACTTCGTCGGGTCCAAAATCTGGTGGTCTTTAGCACTAGATTTCAGCACAAAAAAAAATCTCCAGATCGAAAAACTCTCGACCAAATCGATCATGTTGTGCTTGACGGAAGATATGTATCACTCGTGCATACGTTCCGAGGGCCCAACATCGACTCGGATCACAATATTGTTGCAGTGAAGATACGCACCCGCCTCTGCGTATCGAAGAGCGCCCGTCAACAAAAATAAGGAAAATTCGACGTTGAAAAGATGCAATCACAGCAGACTGCCGGGCAGTTTCCTACTCGCCATGCACACCTGCTCTCTGAGAGCACGCATTAGCATAACGGTATAAGAGAATTGTGGGACGGCAAATTCCCTACATACAACTGCAAATGAAACTATTGGACTTTGGTTGCGATGGAAAGAAAACAGACTGCCTACCTCGCTACCTCATGATCGACCACAACACGAGCAGGGTGGGAAAGATCCCCAGAGCTGAAGAGGGAAATAAAACGCATTTGCAGGGGAAAAAGAAAGAGGCCGAAATGCGAGAGTACGAGGAGCTTGAGAAGCTGACCGACAAGGGTAATGCTCGAAAACTCAATGAGAAGACACGTCGACTTACAGAAGGTTTCAGGATCGGAGCAAATTCTTGTAGGATCCAGCGAGGTAAGCTAGTGATGAACGTCCAGGGTATACTGAATTTATGGAGGGAAGTCCAAATAGCAACCGCCCGCCTAAAGAACAACAAAGCGGCGGGGACCAATGGATTACCGGCCGAGCTATTCAAATACGGCGGTAAAGAACTGATCAGGTGCATGCATCAGCTTCTTTACAAAATACGGTCGAATGAAAGCATGCCTGCGATTGGAGCCTAGTATTCTGTGCTCAATCCACAATTAAGGCGATGAAACAGTTTGCGTCAATTACAGTGGAATAAGCCTTAAGGTCTTGTCGAGCGTATTATGTGAAAAACTGAAGCCCTATACACAACAAAAAGATTGGACCTTATCAGTGTGGCTTCAGACCTGGTAGGTCAAGCATTGACTAGATATTCACCATGCGCCAAATCTTGGGAAAGACCCATAAAAAGAGAATTGACACACACCATCCTTTCGTTGATTTTAAAGCAGCTTTTGACAGCACGAGAAGGAGCTGCCTTTATGCCGATATGTCCTCGCAAAACTTATACTGTTAAGTAAACTGACCTAGAGCAACACTAAAAGCTCCTTCAAGATCAGGAAGGACCTCTCCGAGCCGTGTGATACCAAACCAGGCTTCAGACAGGGTGTAGAGTTGCTAGCATACGCCAATTATATCGATATTACTGGCCTCAGCAACCGCGCAGTTAGTTTTGCTTTCTCCAGATTCGATAGAGAAGTAAAGCAAATGGGTCTGGTAGTGAATAAGGACAAGGCGAAATATCTCCTGTCATCAAACAAACAGTCGTCGCATTCGCGACTTACAACAATAATGTCAGCCATCCAACAGGTGCCACCTTGGACTGAGCAGGCAATTGAATTTAAAGTCCACTCTCGTCGAACAAAAACCAAACTTCACAAGTCACTCATCATACCCGTCCTATTACATTGGACGATATCAATATCTATTGAGTCGGCTCTAGGAGTCTTCGAGAGAAAAGTTTTGCGAACGACTTATGTTCGTGGTAGACGATGGAACTATGAGCTGTACGAGATATACGATGGTATTGACATAGTCCAGCGAATGAAGAGACAGCGGCTACACTGGCTACGTCATATTGTCCGAATGGGTGAAAGCACTCCACTTTTGGAAATATTTGATGTAGTGTCCGCTGGTGGAAGCACAGGAAGAGGAAGAGCGACCTGGCTTCACTTGGTATTTCCAACTGGAGCGATATTGCTAATTCGTCTATAATCGCGTAAGCGGTTTCAACGCCAATAAAGAAGAAGAAGAATAAATCAACATAAAATGAAATAAAATAAAAAATGAAAATGTAATAAAATAAAATAAAAACAAAATGGAATTAAAAGAAATGAAATGAAATAAACAAATAATTAAAAATAAAATAATACAAAATA